ATTTAATGCTTCCCAGCCTAAATTCTGGCTTTTTAGCAGGCCTAACAAATGATGAGACCACTGAACACTTAAGAATCAAACTTTAGGGTGCAAGGAGTGTAAGAGCAAAATTAGCACTTTTAGTTCATGCAATTATACGTGTATAAAATATTGCTTATTAAGTATCTGTGTACAAAAATATAAATGTGAAATTGCATTATCATGTAAAATTATTTGAGGAAAAATGTGAAATGCTAAACATTCAAGTCATAAGCCTACTACTTCAAGAAACTAAACAGAAACATTTCTGAGAAGGCATTAAAACAAAACCGACACAAAAAATAGTCACTTTATAACAGAATAATAATAGTTCTTTACTCCCAAATCACCCCAAATACCTTTGTTTTGGCAGACGAAGGAAGAAGAAACGTGTGCTGGGGATAGGTAGAAAGGGAAACAATCTAGAGAAGATATATCTGGGGAATGGGAGGGGGCAGGTTAAATGGGCCCTCCAAAATTGAGAGCAATAGAGAATAGGAAGGTGCTCTGGTCTACAGAGAAATCCCACGTTCCAAGTATGTATGAACCACATCCAAGACTACATATGGATCACACCTCCTAATCTAGAACACAACTAATATACTGCCATATCCACATTCATACATGTGTGTGCATGCACACGCGCATACACATACATACACACACACACACAAGACTCGTTTCCCTCAGAAGGCCTCTCGGACAGGCAGGTGTGTACTTAGGCTGCTGTGTTGAGTGTACTGGAAGTGGTGATCAGTTAGTGGCTTCTGCCATGAATGAATACTCAAATGTCATTCTCTACCAAATCGTAAACTCCAAACCTATGAGAGGCATCTTATATGCAGAGGGCGTTCCCATGTTTGTTGAAGAATGTTCACTCCAAGGTACTTAGAGGCTTCTGTTCTGAATGACTTTTCAGAACTATTTTCATCATGAAGTAAGTTTGTAAGTTTTACAAAATACTTGCCACAATACACCAAATAAGAGGCATCCTAAGTATCCATTAAAAGACCAGGATGACTCACGTACAAGTGCCTTATGTTACATAACACTTTTATCCACAGTAAGAAATTTCAACAACTCAATTAAGTTTAAACACTTTAATCAACTATAATAAATCAATAATCATATATTATATAAAAATTCTGATTCATGCATCAGATTACATAAATTATACAATGGTCACATTATACAATGTTCACATACTTTTGAGTTTGTACCTGCAAAAATGTATACAAGTTACTACAGCATTTACTTAAGAACTTAAGTGTAATACTCTTCAGTTATAAATAACGGTTATATCTTTCACATACCTCTAACAATATACATTTCTAGATCTGCAGCATTTTTCTGTATCTCAAAATACAAACCATCTGGAAGCTTCAAAGATTAACAGGCCCAAATGTATCATTTGTTACAGACTTCAATTCCATTGTAAGAATGGATTTTTTGACAGAGAAAATAAATGAAATGAAATGTCAACTCTAGTTTAATGGCTGAAGAGCTTCTACACTTCTTATTAAATACATCAGAAAACACTTCATATGCAGATTAATTAGTTAAGGTGCTACCTATTGCATATTAAATACTTCCAATGACTGCATCTGGATTATTACTGTTATAAATCTGTGAAAATGGGAGCTTTCCATGTGTGCTGACAGACCCTTCCAGCTAGCATCTAGACCCAGCAGCGCTGTGATCCCTCCCCTTTACTTCAAAGAGATCGAGTGAATGAGCATGCTTTATACTTCAATTACACACACACAAGTGGCACCTACCATATCTACAACACATATGAGTACACGGACATCAAAAAAGTTTCGGTTGATTGCCAAATCCAAGGAAGGTTGCTTTTTCTAAAAAGCTACAGAGGGAAATAAAAGCTCTAGTATAACAATCACTGTAGATATATTAAAGACAGCGGTTCTTCTTTTTTTTTTTTTTTAATTCTCCTTGTTAAAGAATAAGCACCCTTATGGGGTTAGTAGGCAGGGGGTATGAGGGGTGGGAGAGTTGGTGAAGAAAGAATGGGAAGAAAGCAAGTCTGTCACTAATGAGCTTAGTTTTACTTAGGCTTCCATTCATGAAACCCTTTTAAATACAAGGTAACATTTTCACAGCTGGAATATTACAACTAAATCTTGATTTACTGCCAAAAGCAATAGATGTAGTTATGTATAATCTATGAATAATACTACACTCATGGGAGGATGGCAAAACTAGGCTCAATGCAGAATATAGCAGCAAAAAGCAATACTTAAACATTTTTCATGAATGGGTAACATTATTTTATATACAATTCTAAAATATGACCCTGGTATTCAATAAATCAAACCTGAAGCACAAGTGGTAGGACAGTATGTTCGATACTTTCAAAGCTGAATTTTGAAACTGAGAAGAAAAATGGTTGTAAAACAATACTTTTATAAAAGAATAACATAAATAGTTCAATTATATAACACAAGTATGTTAGCTTAAGATAGGCTTGAGATTAAGTATCAGTTCCATGATTTAAAAAAATCCCTTGGTGAAAATGTTTTTGAGCACGCATCTTTTAAAGCACAGAAGCAAAAGTAAAATCTGTTTATAAGTCCATCCCTAAGCCACTAACAAAATATATCATTAATACTTACAGTTACATTTTAGAAAAATACACTAAAGTGATCTTTATGGTCTTTTTTCTACAATACTAGAAATTAAAAGTACTCTGTTTCCACTTCTGCATAAACATAGTAAATACTGATATTTGTTTACTTGGAAATCCATTTTTACTTTTTGTTTTTACTTTACTATATTGACTGATTATGAAAATATGAATTAAGTTTGCTCTAGGTAATGAGTGAAAATTCATAAACACTGGAAAAGAACATTTTTCAAGCAGTAATAAATGCAGACTCAGTTTTAAATACAATACTTTATCAGATTTAAAGATGAAAATATTGATTCAGTTATAACCAGATCATTCATGTGTGAATAAGTCTAATCCTTAACAGTTTTTAGATTAGCAAATAATTGCTCCTTAAAAATAAACTTCCTCATAAAAAGAATAGCAGTACTTGAACCATACTTTTTAATGAGCTCTATTTATGTAAAACATACCCCCAATACAAAACTGTCATCTTGGTTCATTCTATAAAGAGCAAATTTGGCCAAAGCATATAACAATATCTGCACAGATCTGTCATAATACTGAAAACAGATGGATTTTGGCATTTAAAAAAGTGTAAAAAGAGCCTCAATAATACTACTGGAAAAAACAAATGCTAAGAATTTTGTAACATTTAGTAAATGTTAATTTATTAAAATTAAATAAATGCCATTTAAAAGGCACCAAGTTAAAAAATAATAATTACCAAAACCTCAAATGGGAAAATAAAATTCTATACTGGATTACGAGGTTTATCACAGAACTTTGATTGTAAGTGGAGGAAAAGATTGATAAAAGCTATTTTTTAATTTTAGAAAAGCATTTAATTTTGTGTATTTGGGAAAATTTTTCAAAATTTCAAAATGCATGTTCTCCATAGGAAAACTAAAGAAGCTCAGAAAATACAAATGACAAGGGATTTTAGCTTATGAATATAAGGCTTGGCCAAATATTCTCTGGTTCAAAATATTAAAATAAGCTAAATTATTATATCTGCTTTTTATTTAACTTTCACCAAGGTCTTAATAGAGATAAATATCAGAAAAAAATGCAGTTCATTAACACACTGGGGAATATATAAATCTCCACATGAAGACAAATTTTTCATTTTAAATTCAAAAAAACAGATACTCTCAGTGTTTCACAGTTAGTATTTTTGGTTTTAAGACTGAAAAATAAGCAGAAGATTAGCAATATTATTATACCACTGCTTTCCAACTTAAATTTCAGAATAATGTTGTACAAATATATAAAGATAATCCATGGAAGGAATTCACATTTTTGGGGAGTGGACTTAAAAAAAGACATAATTTTGTGATAAATCAATTCTCAAAGGGTGGATGTAGTGTAATGTATAATTTCATGCTAGTAAAGATCTGCTCTAACAACTCACTCCTTTATAAGTCTTATTTTGGTTCAAGACCCAAAGGCAACCATCTGTTCTATTATTTATGTAACTTGAAACCAAGCCTAATTCTTCATTCCTAGAATTTGCCCACTGCTTTGGGTTATCAGACACCAGAAAATCACCTACTTTTTTTTCCCCCCAAATTATTTTCAGATATAGCTTTGTAATATTCTCTTTGCTAGTGATTTAAAGAAGTGCAGAATTTCAACAAAACAAATTACATTACCTTACCTTCTGCTGATACCTTAAATAAAACTCAAATGTTAAGGCAAATTAATTCAAAGAAATTCATGCTGTTGTGAAGTTAAAAAAAATTTCCTAAAATTTGTCATTATTTTAAAAAGGACTATAGGTCATTATTTTTGGAAAAAGAGCAAAAATTTGATGCTGGAATAATATGCAGCAGCTCACTTTGAAGCCAAGGTTCACATAGTCAAGAGTGATTTGAAGCAGCTTCTCTAGAACAAACCATGATAGTACTAATGATGACTTGTCTTGCATTGATAAAGCACTGACACTTTTTCAAATTAAGAAACTGGTACCCTAATCTTAGAGGCAACCAGTTATTTTTAAATGTTCTAAAAGCACATGTATATATGAGGTATACGCATGTATTTTATATACAAAGATACATGAACATATATTCATGTATGCATATATGTATATAAAATATTAACTGTTTTTTACTAGTGTTTTTAATGATCAGTAGTCTGTAGCTAAATGTCTACAAATTGGCTTCTGAGATACCAACCACAGTATCAACTCTGCTTTATGAAAAATCTGTTCCTGAGGAGTAACTCATGTACTTCTGAAGATATTTCTAGTCCTATGGCAGATTAGCGGGCCGGCACCAGCACCTAAGTGAAACCTAAGGAACTGCTTATTCATCGAGAATCTGGCCCATTTTCACTTTAAAAGTTTAAATTACTTAGCTCACTTCAAAGGTCACTCTTGATAGTCCCTGCTAATATTTATGGGTAAAACAATTTTTCACAATGAAGGAGAGTACATAATGAAACCTGATAGTGTAACCTGTCAGTAACAAGTTTTTCCTTTTTCTTTCTTTCTTTCTCTCTTTTTCCAATTATAAATGCAGTACAATTGGCTTCACTAACTATTGGAGAATTTGCCAGCTTTCCTAGAGGGTTCATACGGCACTCTGAGAATACTGGGCGTTTCTTCCATTACCCTCACGAGGAGGTTGTCGATGTAGTCCTCGAGCTCCCGGATGTGCGTGTCTTTCCTCCTAAGGAGTTCTTTGTGTTTCACCAGCTCCTGTAGGACCTCTTCATAGGTAAGACTACGATACCCTGCAGTGGCATCAAAAGGGTTGCTGTCCTAGAACAGGATAAAGACTGTCACTTTAGTATATATAAAACCAGGGACAAACAGTTAAGAATTATTTAGAACTTCAATTTTTGGTGTTTCAAACCCCAATGAAGTTTTTCTCTATCCTTGGCTAAAAGTAAGGTGACAGTCCACAGACTGGTTAGCAGGTTCTTAGGCAAGGACTACGGCCGATGCACCAAAGCCTTGGTTGTAACTCTAAATTCTAATACCCTTTTTTACACTGTGAACAATTTCCTAATATCAGAGACTGCCCATATAACTTAAGACTACATTAAGAGATGAAATGTTCTATAATAAACATAAAAAAATAGATAAAACTAAAGATCTCTAAGAATTAACTCAGTGGAACTATAGGAAGATACTGAAAACTATACACCTGGATATTAGTCCTCATGGAATTGCTTCCATTGAATTGCGGTTTAACGTTATATCTTTAGCTTTTTATTGAAGATGGTTACAAGAAGCAGCCATATCAAATCTGCTTCTCCAATTTGCTATGAAATGTGGAAGGCACTCGAAATTAAATCAAAAAGCATCCTTTTAAGAAGCCCCATGGGAGTAACTTCTGTTTTCACTTAGAGGCAGGCAGAGCTTTTTCTCCTCTGAGTAACTGGTCTATTTCCTTCTCCTAGTAATAATACCTATCTAATTTATCTTCTTTCCCTTTTTGCCATGGTTATCAGGAAACTCAGAGTTCAACTACAACTATGTTAACACTTATGGTTAGTATATTTGCATTCTCTCCCATTTCATTTATTTACTTAACTAATCTATATTCTACTGAAAAAATTTCTTTCTAGACAAAAGCATAAATATAACCAAAAAAGAATAAAATGCACTGATTTTTTTATTCAAAGTATTCTAATATTAATGTGACACCAAAAGCCAAAGAAAAATATTTCTCAGGAATTTAATCAAGAAGGAACTGTGACATTATCTTTTATTTATAGTGAGTAGCATTTAGATTTTTTATTACGTAAAATATAATGCCCAAATACAAAGCAGCAATTTTTATGCCTTTTAAAACATAGTTCTATCACTAAATCCAACAACTTAAAATGATTTTCATCACTTTCTTTCAAAGCATTTCCATTTAGCTTAAGGAAAATAAAATACTGAGGATACTAGTTTTCTTGCTCCGAAGGAGGAATAGTACCTACTTGATTCAGTAGAGGATAGGAATGGGGACTACTGAATGTAGAAAGATATTTTTTCTTTTTTCCCACAGGAATTGAATTTGTCTTTCCCCATTTTCAGGATTTACTTCAATTGTGTGATGTGTCTAGGAGTTTTCATCAGCAAATCCAAAGTTTAACGTTTACCTCCTCCTCCTTCCCAAGGCGCCATGACTTTGCTAGCACCAGAGAAACAGAAGCTAGAGTACAGATATCAATTTGATGCTTGGGTCACTAACGCAAGCTCCCTTCTCCAGGATAAGTGAAAAAATTCAGGATTGAAAAACTTCTCAAATTCCAAAGGCCATCTACAGCTTTGTGGAGAAGACACAGCTTGCAGTAGGCCTTCAAAGATTCTGCAGGCAGAAAAACGTAATAGGTATTTCAGGCAGTGGGCTCTGCTTCTTCAAAGGAGGAAACAAAGTTCAATGCATAGTGACCAATAACAGGCAATTGGTGAGCATGGCTGGAAAATAAGGTACAGGATAGGGAGTAGAGAGAGGCTGAAATGATAAGTTCGAAGCAGACCACCAAGGATGCTGCATGCTATTATTAAGTATTCTTAGACTTTTTGCTATAGGAAATCGGAAGCCATTGAAGGTTTCTAAACAAAGGAATGACATGGTTAAAGCTATGTTCTAGGAAAATTAAAATGGTAACAGTGGGTAAAATCATTCAGAGGGGCTGAGATTAGTTACAGAGCTATGCAAATATTAAACACAAAAGTTAATAAGAATGAATAGAGAGGATATTAAAGAGAAGGGAGTTTAAATTCTATAAAATATACTTAAAACAACTTATTTTATTTTAGCATTAGAAACTGGGAACAGATGTTACTTTACAAGTTATACTACCTTTGTGCCTAAAAACATTTCAAATATTGCTCTAAAACCACTGAAGGACAATTCTAGAGACAAATGTTGGTTTACTTTTTATTCTCTTCTCTCTCAGATCAATTAATCTTTTGTAAGACTAAGTCTACACATACACACACATACACACACATGGTCACATAGTTACTGGTTGATGAAAACTGGTCATGAGTAGTTTAGAGATAAACAACGTATTATAAATTTCTCAATTACAATCTTATAAATCATTCTTTATATTAAGCAGTTTTCTATAGTAAAGATAAAACACACTATAGAGATAAGTATATTTTTAAAATTTGTTAGAAATAAGCTAAGGTTTCTTACTTTAACCCAAGTAATTTTGCATAAATTTGAGACAGAAATTAACCTAGGTCTCACTTTTCTTATCTGATAAATGAAATGTTCTCCATGGTCCCTTTCAACTCTAAAATTTCCTGGTCTACTAAGTGATTTTTCTTTTCTTTTTTTTTTTAAAAAGATGACCGGTAAGGGGATCTTAACCCTTGACTTG